GGTCGCGACGGGCGGCGTACGAAGTTATGAGTCGCGGAATCGGGAACCAGAGTTTCGTGTCCTTCTCGAAGTAGGCCTCGTAAACGCATTGGTACCCCATCGGAGGGGTCCAAGGCCGTTGATTGTCAGTCGGGATCAAGTACGTAACCCCAACTGCATTGAGACGTTTTAGCATGCTCTCAACCCGAGTGGGAGTAGACCACGTCGACCATATGCGCCTGTTAGAATAAGTGCCGCGCTCGCGAATTAAGTTCGACGGAACTTCCACGCCCCGCTCGAAGACACCATTTCCCGAATAACGAGTTGGGACTGGGGGGCCCGCAACGGGTCGAGTACTCTCGGAAGGAACCACGATTCGGATCCCACCTGCCGCCCTATTAGCGCGACCTCGGGCGTTAGGTCTAATTGGCTGCGCCGAAGAACGCCGAGTCAATTGCGGAACGCCAAGCGATTCGGCAGCTGCATTACCGGCAGCCTCTCCCCCTCAACTCCCTCTCCGAGTCGACTACAAGAAGCTTCTGTGCCAAGTCAAGATTAGCCGAGTCACGCAGTGCCGCTCGATGCTCTAGCTCAAAGTCCTCCAAAGGCTCGTCGGTCGTTGCGTCTCGCGCTACGTCTTTCCCTTTCTCTTCCCGAGTCAATCGCTTTCGGGGGCACATCGTAACCAGTGGTGCGTATATATCTTACAACAATCTAGAGAGAGAAAGTAGAGAGAAGGAAGAGAGAGTACCTGATTTCGCGGAGAAGAATGAGAAGGGCGGAGGCAAGAGGGATATATATAGAGAGAATGAGGCGTGAATCTCAGTGCTGCATTTATTAGGTCTACAAAAACCTAGATGGGCCTTTTATTTGGTGACCGTTCGCATTCCGCCCTTAATGGGCCGAGTCTTATAAAAAGAAGCCCATCACTCGCGACGGTTCGTATTCTCCTACCACACACCTCGAGTGAAAACCGACCACTCTCGCTCGATTACCGAGTGAATTGCGAAAAACGTCAACCGAGTGAAAACCGACCACTCTCGCTCGATTACCGAGTGAATTGCAAAAAAAGTCAACCGAGTGAAAACCGACCACTCTCGCTTGATTACCGAGTGAATTGCGAAAAACGTTAACCGAGTGAAGATCGACCATTCTCGCTCGATTACCGAGTGAATTTCAAAAAAAAAGTCAACCGAGTGAAAACCGACCACTCTCGCTCGATCACCAAGTAACCCGCGACGAACGTCAATCAACCGAACAACGAACGAGCAGCACATCTGCTTCTACCTCGACTGCCGAGTAAATCCTTCGCGTAAAAGGACGCTTTTGAAACCTTCTCCTACGCTCCGAGTATGCTTTCCTGTAAACCCGATTGGCTCACTCTATTAACTCATCGACTGATCGTCAATAGACTGGGGGGGACTTACTGTAGGAGGTGGGCCGTACCCACCCCTCAAGGCCCACAAGAAATCATACTCGGCCCGGTAAGGGACGAGTCGCCGACATTAACACGTGACTCGTTAATACCCGAGTGGTGTCCGTACGAGTAAGGAATTCACCTTACCGAGCCGAGAAAAGGCCCAATACCGAGGGCCCATTGGCCGACACCAACTTAGGTCAAGTTTGAGAGAGAGGTCAAGCTATAAAAGGGGAAGAAGACAACACAAGAAAGGGATCGAAAAAGAGACTCACCAGGCGGCGACATAGATTAGGGTTTTATACCTTGCTTGTTTCGTTGTCACAGCCTAGTCCGTACACTACCCCGGCTGATCTCTCCGAGCACCGGGGGACTCTCTTTGTATTCTCTTCGACTATAAATAAAATCCCTCTCTTTCTTTGCTCATCTTTGTTTACACCTTCGTAATCACCCACCGACGAGTCCAGTCACTCACTTCACTGATACACGACCGAACTCGGTTCAAACACCTATTCCTATGATAGATCAACTCTTGGATGAGCTACATGGTGCTAAATGGTTCTCTAAATTGGATTTGAGGTTTGGATATCACCAAATAAGTGAAGGAGTGTGATATTGAGAAGACAGCTTTTAGAACACATGAGGGAAACTATGAGTTCACAGAGATGCCGTTTGGGTTGATGAATGCACCTGCAACTTTTCAGTCCCTAATGAATGAGGTCTTTCAACCTTATTTGCGGAAGTTTGTGTTGGTATTTTTCGATGATATTCTGGTGTATAGTTCATCATTGGCAGAGCACGAAGATCATTTGAGAGAAGTGCTGAGGATGTTTGAGATACATAAGTTGTTTGCTAATAGAAAGAAATGTGCATTTGGTCAGCAGAAAGTGGAATACTTGGGGCATTGCATATCAGAAGAGGGTGTTTCGACTGATCCTCAGAAGATCCAATCAGTAGTACAGTGGCCATCACCAAGGACAGTGAAGGATGTGCATGGGTTTTTGGGACTCACAGGATATTATAGAAGATTCGTGCAGGGGTATGGTATGTTGGCAAGAACGTTGACAAAGTTGTTAAAAAAAGAGAAATTTGAATGGTTTAATGAAGCTCAAATGGCGTTTGATAAATTGAAGCATGCTATGACTTCTACTCCTGTTCTGATGCTTCCTGAATTCAACCAGATCTTTATCATCGAGTCTGATGCTTCAGGATTCGGTCTGGGTGCTGTGTTGATGCAGAACAAGCATCCAATTGCGTATTTCAGTCTTGCTATGACAGAGAAGGAACAGATGAAACCAATTTATGAAAGAGAGTTAATGGAAATTGTTCTCTCAATTCAAAAGTGGAGGCATTATTTGCTGGGACGGAGATTCTTGGTGCGAACTGATCAGCAAAGCCTTAAGTATCTGTTGGAGCAAAGGGAAGTTACTCTTGACTATCAAAGATGGTTGACACGCATAATGGGTTATGAATTTGACACTGAATACAAGGTGGGTCTGAGAATAGAGTGGCTGATGGCCTTTTCTCGAGTAGTGAATTACAAGGCAGCGCAGGTGATTCATTAGTTTCTAGCCTTGACGTTTTCTGCAGCACTGCAAGTTCAAGAAATTTATGCGGAAATTGATAGAAGTGATGAGATACAAGGTATTATTGCTAGAATGTCTTCAGACGAGTTGAGTGAAAAAGGATATTCTGTGGTACAAGGAAGATTGTTCTACTAGGGTCATTTGGTGTTGCCTGAGAAGTCAGTACACATTCCCTTGATTTTACAAGAGTATCACGACAGTTTGTTGGGAGGACACTCTGGGATATTGAAGACTTTATAGAGGATTCGTATTCTGTTTTATTGGCCTAAAATGCAAAAGTGTGTTCAAGATTATGTTGCGTCGTGTGAGATTTGCCAAACACATAAGTACACGACTTTATCTCCTGCGGGTTTACTTCAGCCTATTGAACCTCCAAATCAGATATGGGAGGACATATCGATGGATTTTATCGAAGGGCTTCCAGCTTCACGTGGATGGAATGTGATATTTGTGGTTGTTAATCGTTTGAGCAAGTATAGCCACTTCATATTGCTTAATCACCCGTTCACAGCTGCAGATGTGGCTCAGAAATTTGCACAAGAGGTAGTGAGGTTGCATGGTTTTCCGAAATCAATAATATCTGATCGAGACAAGATCTTCCTCAGTAATTTTTGGAAAGATTGCTTCAAAGCTTCTGGCACTCGTTTGAGGTTTAGTACTGCGTTTCACCCGCAATCTGATGGCCAGACAGAGGTGCTTAACCGCTGCCTTGAGACGTACTTACACTGCTTCGCATCCTCTCATCCTAAGACTTGGTCTAAATATATTTTGTGGGCAGAGTTGTGGTACAACACTTGGTACCATACGTCAACTCAGTGTACACCTTTTAATATGTTCTATGGTCGTGATCCTCCACCGTTGCTGCGTTTTGAAGAAGGATCCACAATGAACTTTGATTTAGAAGTGATGTTGAAGGACAGAGATGTTATGATACGTGATGTTAAACAACATCTTTTACGAGCACAGGAAGTGATGAAGAACAATGCTGATAAGCATCGGAGAGATTTGGAGTTTCAGGTTGGTATGAAAGTGTATTTGAAGTTGAGACCATATAGACAGCAATCTGTGAGTCGCCATTTGTCGCAGAAGTTATCGGCACGTTACTACGGTCCTTATGAAGTATTGGAAAGGATTGGTAAGGTGGCCTATAGATTGCGTTTACCAGTTGAGTCCAAAGTTCATCCAGTTTTTCATGTGTCTCAGTTAAAGCCGGCTGTGGGTCAAGGAAGAACGGTTGTAGCTTTACCACCGGAGTTATCAAATGAGGATGAGTTACTTGTGGAGCCACATGAGTTGTTGGCTACTCGTTATGATGGAGAAGGTCATTTGGAGGTGTTGGTGTCGTGGAAGAATCTTCCTGCTCACGAGAATACTTGGATGAGATTGTCGGACCTTAAACATCAGTTTACAGAATTTACACTTGAGGACAAGCTGGTGCTTCATCCGGAGGTATTGATATGCCCTTAGGGTTTATATTTCGAGAAAGAAGAAACAGAGTATGGAGGAAGAAAGAATGAAGAATGGAGAAGTTCAAGAAGAGTGATGAGCTGGCAAGTTAAATATTGTGAATAAACGATAAAATAGAATTGTAACAAGTCCTATATAAAAAGGACGTTAGGAGTTAGTTACAGATTGATTCACTTAGAAACAGTTGGCTTGGATCTCGACTTGTGAGATTCAAGAACTTGGCTTAGTCTTCTGGATCGTAAAAGCTAAGAGAGGGTGGTTGGGCGGTTCTTATCAAGGAAACATCATTGTTCTTATCAGTTACATCTATGGTGGATCAAGAAGTGTTACAATGAAGAAGAAGACGAAGAAGAGGACTGCCTTTTGCGGCTGCGCTCAGCAGTCACCGTCTCCGTGAAGGTTATTGTTACTTCACTTGCAAGTTAGAAAAGTTCTCATGTGAAAAAAAATTTAATTTAACAGCAAGTAGTAGTGAAAATTTGAATAACAGACTCTTAGCTTTTCGACTTTATTCTTGATGAAAATATAAATGTGAGAATTCAATTTGAAACCTTTAAACGTTGTTAAATTCCGGTACACCACCCGAGATTTTCTCCGGTGAGTCCGGTTTAGCTGTGTGGAGCATGAAATCGCAGGCTGAGACGGCTTCTGCTACTGTGAGATGAATCCAGTCTTTGCCGATGGACTCTATGAACTTGGACTTGCTTAGCTTCTTCATCGCCTCTGCTCCTGGGTTCACTATCACTAGCTGAGGAAATTAGAGGACGAAAAAGTAAAAATCAATAGATGTTTGGGGACTTAATCTGTAAGTAAAAGAAATATATTGGACTTATATAGTAATAACCTTAAGCTCTCTTCGTCCAAGTAGTTTGTTGAGTTCCTCAAGCATGCTTATACCACTTGTGTCAATGTTCCCCACAGCTAAGAATCATATAACATAATGTTACATGTTAAAATCAAGATTAAGATGTTTCATAGTTTGGATCTAACATTTAAACTGAAACAAAACTTATACGTCAACTGATTATTCAATGGTTTTGAAAACTAAAAATTAAGCAATCAATGTCAAAGTTTCGTACCACTCAAATCAAGTATGATGTATTGTAGACTGTTTTCTTCACTCTTTCTCAGTTTATCTTCCTCCTCATCGATCCACCTTCCAATTCTAGCAAAACATTGAACATAACACACAAAATTTATTTATGTAATTCACGTAAGAATAGCTAAGATTTGAAAAAAGATAAAAGTATTAGAAAGTAAATAATAACCTATCTCTTAAGTAGCTAGAGTTGGCGAAGTAAATAGGACCATCAATGTGGAGAATGATGACGCCAGAGAGAGTAGTGGCTTGAGGGTACTGTTCAATGTTCCTAAAGATCTCTGTGTTCTGAATGTTTCCCATTACATAAATCTTTGGTCTTCCCACGAACAACAATAATCTCAGCACTGATATTCCCACCTGCATTTTATTTTCATTTTCATTTTTTGTATAAAAACATGTATTTGTGCTGTAATTGTTGAATTATTCTATGTTATTAAATGTTATAGTCACGTAGAGGAAGTTATACGTACAGAGAGGATGAGACCAATCTCAATGGTACCAAAAACGACGCCTAAAAAAGCAGATAGACAAACGAAGAAATCGAACTTGTCGAGTCTCCAGAGATGCATTGCTGCTTCGTAGTCAACGAGTCCGAGCATGGCGGCTATGATGATTGATGACAGAACTACTAACGGTGTGTAAAAGAATAATGGCGTTAAGAACAGTAATGTTACTGCTACTGCAACCGCCATCACCACGTTTGATACCGCCGTTTTGCAACCGGCGTTGAAGTTCACCGCAGAACGCGAAAACGGACCTTCATGTAGAAATAATATATGGTTATCTTTGGCAAGGCAACTAAGAAATACTCCCTCCGTTTCATATTAAGTGTCTTGTAGAGAATTTTTTGCGTTACAAAATAAGTGTATTTTCGGTTTTCAATGCAAAATTTATTAAATTTACTATGTAATTTGTTTTTCTATTGGTTAAAATATAGTTATGTATATGGGTAACTGTGTTTTTATAAAGAAAATATGTAAAATTAATTGTTTTCTTAATCTGTGTGCACAGCTGTAGAGTGACACTTATAATGAAACAGAGGGAGTAATTTGTTTTTTACTTAATTATTGTTAGTATTATGTAATGCTATTAAATGTAAATATCATTTGTACCATTTTAGTTATATGAATTAGTAAGAAAGTAAATAAAATTTAAGATTTAGACTTAGATTTAGAGGAATATTGAATTATATATATATGTAATGCTATTATGTAATGCTATTAAATGTAAATATCATTTTTTTTTATCAAAAAAAAATATATATATTCATTTGCACTGTTGTTTTTGCTAATTAAATTATATCCTAAGAAATTGAAAATGAAAATGAACGTTACCGGTAGTGAGATAGCAAGAGGAGAAGGAACCCATAATATTCATCATCCCAAATGCAATCATCTCTTTGTTCCCATCTATGTTGTAATTCTTATACATCGCAAAGCTTCTCCCCACTGCAATTCCTTCCTATTTATATATAATTTTAACACGACACATTACAAGCAATTGAAGATCATATAGGGATTTTTGTTTTTATATAACAAAAAAATTGAATGGTTAATGATTTTATGAAATACTCACAGCAAGAGCAATGACTCCAGTGATAATGCCGGTTTTAAGAGCCAACGTGACATAAGGTGACGTGAAAACCAAATGTGTGATGGACGGTGGATTAATCCCTTTCTTTAATTCTCCAATCTATTCCCAGAACAAACAATAATATTAGTAGTACAATAGCATTTGATCTCAATCATGTCTCTCAGGCTATTTTTTGTATGCATTTACATGAGAAACAAAGTAATGATATAAACATTTTCCATTTTTTCATATAGTATTCGTTTGCAGTGTAAAAGCCAAAAGAAAAAAGAAAAATTGTTTGCGTTTAGTAAAATATATTTTAAGCTGCGGGTTCATTTGTTCAAAAACTATAAATGTCAAATACAAACGCTAATGCATACGCAAATAAATAATTAAACCTAATAGTACGTTTTTGCCGCATGCGTTAAAATTATAGAGAGAGAAGAAAACGTACAATTTGGATGCCATGGAACTGGGCATGGAGAAAGTAAACGAAGAGGCTTCCAAAAATGACAGAAACAAGTGGAGCCATTGCAGATATCCAGAATAGCTTTGGTCTCTTCTTGCTCTTCAGTTACATTTATCATTTTGTTATATATTTTTAAAGTACACATAGAAGATAATGAAGATATATATATATATATATATATATATGTATTAATATACATGTTTATACATTAATTATAGTACATGTGATTAAATAAGTTTAAACTTACAATGTATTTGGTTGTAAGAAGGAAAAAGAGGAAGCAACACCCTAGTAACCCACTCTCCCATCTCCACTGCATATATTTCATAAATGATACATTATTTATTGTTAATTTAATTCCAAAATGTTCTTTTCCACATAAATTAAATGAAATCATAAGCAGATTAGTTTGTTTTTCACACTTAAGTAAATGAAAGGAATATAAATCTGTCGGTACAATATTGACAAAACATCCCGTGAGCAATAACAACAATAATGCCTCATGCCACTTGCAATCTTAAAATGATAAAAAGATTAAAAATAAAAACTTATATCGGAGAAAACTATTGATTTGGAGAAACAACGGATGTTATCACAGATCTTGGACACTAACTAAGAGAATAACCACCCGTGAATAATGTAATTGTGTATATGTATATAAACACCAAATTAACTACTAATAGATGTAGCTGCACAGTTCTAAATAAACTATTTTCAACTAGTAATTGTTTTATAAATTTCTAAGGTTAAATTAATGGGAAAAAATGCTGGAAACGAACCATATGAGACTGAGAAAAGATGGACCGAAGAACGGAGATGACATCAGTGGAATGGGTGAAGTGACTGAGACCAAGTAATCCTTTCAGTTGTTGTAGACAAACCACCGTCGCGGCTCCTGCCATGAACCCTATGATCGCAGCGTGCGACAATATCTCCACCAAAAATCCTAACCTGTTATTTTTTACATTCAGTAAATTCAATTAATTTCTTAGAAAATACTATACCATGTTCAGCTTTTTATATTTATTCAATGTTTTGTGGTTAAATTCCTTCACGTGAAATTGTTATTAATATTGTCATACTCAGACATGTTTGCATCAAATGGATCATTCGCTTATCTTTATGTTATAGTATACATGGAGTATCAAATCTCTATTCTCATAGTTCAAAAAGAATCTCTAGTCTTTATTTATGCTAAGAAAAACAAAAAGATCATGCACGAGGCAAAAATATTCAGCAAGTCAAGACAAGGTGCAAAATGTTCGTTTCTCACTTTTTATAAATACTTTTAATTATGTCAGACCATTAATAATCATATCATAAGAACTGTGCCAAAATATAAGATTAATAATACTGTTATTCTCAAGAAAAATAAGAATATTAATACTATATATATACTATATAGACTCACATTCGTTCGGTCATTTCTGCGATACTTGTATTAATTGAGTAAATATGACCATTCCATGATATGTAACACAATAACATATCTAATACATTTTTTCATGTATACAAGTCATTTTTATTGTTAATTCTAAATAATGTATATGAGTATGGTTTGGGGTGTTAACTAACCGTAAGAGGCCAAGGCAGGTTTGCATGAGTCCGGCAAAGAAAGTGGCGGTGAAAGCTAAGTGAAGGTAAAGCTTTGGATTCTCCACCGCATTTACCTCTTTCCCTATCATTGCCGCCGTTAACAACGACGCCACCGCCACCGTACCCACAGCTAAATCTCTTGAACTTCCCATTATCGCGTATACCATTGGCGGCACGAAGCTCGAGTCTACATTTCCATACACATGATTATATATTTTCGTGTACATTTATAGAGAAAATTCATATAAATTAATGTCAAAAGCACTGTCGGTAACAACAACACAATTTATATGATTTTAGGACCAAAATAGGTGTTAGTTTGAGGTTGCAAGTGAGTTTTAATCACTCAGACCAAAAGTAATTTGAAACCAAACCAAAACCAAATAAGTATTATTTGTCCGTAGGATGATAACCAAGTTTTTAATATCTTTGTAATATTAGAGTTCTTAAACTCTTCTTTGTAAAATAACATTAGAACTAATAAGAAGAAAATAACGTACAAAGACCAAGGATTGGAGGGAGATTGGCGAGTTGAGCATAGCTAATCCCTTGAGGAATAGCAAGACTTGCTATGGTGATCCCTGAGATAACGTCTGATTTCAAGTACTCCAAATTGTAACCACGAGCCCACTCCAAGATCGGGAACACGTGCCGCAACCCTAACTCGATCTTTTTCGACATTTTCGATTCTTTCCTGATTTTCCGGAACGGATCGTCGGCGAAAAGGATCTCATTGAGAGTGTTCTTTAGTGATTTGAAGAAAGGTTGTGGTGGAGGGGTTTCTACTTGGTGGTACTGTAATACCCTTTTGCACATATTCTATAGTTTGAAAATAAAGTATTTTCTTCGCTTAATGCTTTGAAAAGATTACGGAATGAGAGTTGATCAAAAGCAAAGTCTCATTTGTATTCGGGTGTGATGAGAAGAGAGGAAGATGTGGGTTTTATAGAAAAGGAGTCAATAAATTTACGTATATTGTTTTATCATTTCAGGGGGACCCACAATGATTGTTGGTTTTTGTTTTGTAACTGTATATTATGTGAACGCTAAAAGGAAAACTTTATGCTATGTAATTTCTATTAATAACTTAAGGTATTAGCGTTTAGAAATATCTTTCATAATACGTAAAAAGACCTGTTCATACATTTTTCACATGATTTAACATTTTCGTATTTTTAACAAATGTAATACACAATTCACGGACGAAACTCTCCTTATAATACCCAGATCGACGAACACTACGTCATTCTCTATAGACATACTCTCTCCGCAACACATTGGCACACTAAAACTTCCAATAATCTTACATTCATTAATATGTAAGAAATTACATTTTCTGGGAATTGAACCTTAGATCTAGCTAGTATAAAAGTTTTTAACGTTGAGCAGTATACCACGATACTTTTACATCTATTTAACTGCTTAAAACATTAAACTGTATGTATATATATATTCATAAACTATTATATTAATTTTATGATTTTATATATTCTTTGAACATTATGCTTTTACATGTTTATGTATTTAAATTGATGTTTCCTGAATTTTAGCTGAAGATACGTCCTGATTGTACGTACAATTCACCTTCATGCATCATAATTGCATGGTCAACACAAATTTCAGAAATCTATTCATCTTTTGTGTCCTTCTTCTTAGGAGATACCATTTCCAAAATTCATTACAGGAAAACTATCAAATATTTTAAAAACATCACAAATGGAAAAGAAAAACTCAATAGCAGCAGGAGATAGAAGCATAAAAGCCAACTCAACTATACATGAAGGGAGGTTGCTAAGGCTGGAAGTACCGAAACCATAGGTGAAGGTATGTAGCCTTTGGCGGGACTGAGGAAATCTAATTACATACAGAGTTATCGTGGGATCTTTAATTAAAATAACTCCACTGTTTTTCCTACTTGTTTTTACCACATCATGCTACAACTTTGACATACAGAGGCATCCAAGGAGCTATTTAGACTTTTATCGGAAGCTATTACATAAGAAAACCGTTAAATAATTAGGAGACATGATTAAAATGAAGCAGCAGCGTGAGCTGTTACAAGACTTCCCAATTTGGATAGATCACTCTCGTTACCATTATTTTCTTTTTGTCGATTTGCATTTGGAGCATTTCGAATTCTAAACATTCGCTTTCCTTTTCTTCTTCAACACACAGCTCGAGGCATCCCATGTTTTAAATTATTTTCGCACATACAAAGAGTGTTTTACATCATATATTTCATATGTTTATATTACTTTTTAATTTATAACTAAAATTTACATTACTTCTAAAATAGTAATAGAAATACTAATTTTATATAGATTAAAAGCCAACTTCTATCAGTGATATTTATAGTTAAATTAATACTAATGTTAAAATTGAATATATAAAGTCATAAATTTTTTACATAAGCCATATCAGATCAGCCGACAGACATATAAAAAAAAAAGAGTATATATATATTTATAATATTGGTATTATTTACTCAAATTACTGTTATAACATGTTATAATAAGCAAAAAGATGAGTTTAGATCAATATTATGGTTGGTATAGAGCTTCTCTAAATTCTAATATCAAAATAGTATACTTTTATCAAAACTAAGAGTTGGCAATCTTTTTTATAAAAAAAACAAGATAGTCTACATCCAAACTCCATACTCCAAGTTAGTAATCTAAACTATAAATCCTAATGCTTAATTATATATTTTTAAAAGACTTATGGGATAATATGTTAAAGTTATCCCATTTCTTTTTCTTTTGGGAAAAAAGTCTAACCCTTCCCGTGAATGTCCTTAGCTACATTACACACATACTTTGGCATTTTTCGTTATAATCGTTTCTTGATCCACTGTCTCTGTTTTCTGTGTTCCCTCTTTAACCACATGGACATGTGAACCATAACCATGAAACACACATATATACAAACAACACTTTCTTATTATAACATTTTGTTAAAGATTAGAAATCCTTGATTATCTCATCCTCCTAATCCTCATCTTTGCAAGGCTCAAAATAGTAAATACAGTAAGAAGTGACAAAAGAGATTGATGATGTCCAAGTAGAGCGAAAGTGCTGCCCAAATAAAATGGACGTTACCTGAATTATGGCGAAGCAATAATAAGAGCATCAAACAAGGCACATGTCAACCCCAAAACAAAAGCCGGATATTTGTTGCGGTAATAGTAAAACGGAGACGTATACACAAAAGAAAAAACAACCTAGCTAAGATATTTTTGATTTCTCAATGTAAATTAAGTGTACTGATGCTTTTGTTACCTATGAAGTGCGTGATGATGGTGATGACTATATAGAGACCTAGTTCAACGATATTTCTGCAATTGTGAGATTGGAGCAAGGTTTAAACACATGCTTCAGATTAGACTAATTATTAAAGTAATTAATTATTTGATGTCCTAGGTTTGTTGGTTCCTCTTTGACTATCTACAAGGTCTTGCTCAGAATCATGAAAAACTCCAAGTATTGCATTTTTTTGCAGGAAAGATCTATTCTGTATCTATTGCAGTATCTTGGAGAGACCAAGAGAAGCGTTCGATCAGCTTGGCAAGAAGCTACAAGAGAAATCTGTGTTTGGGTCTTCATTTGAGGTATCAGGTATGAGAAAACAAGGGGAAGAAGTTATCGCTGAGATTTGCTTTCTTCTTGCGGTAAGTATTCCTAAGAGTTAATGCCGGTGGACATTGCATCTTTGTTTCAAAAGTTGCTAGCAAATAGCAATGCAGCAGATAATTCAGAAAGTATACAGAAACTCATCTCCTATACCATGTTGGATTTGGAGGTGAAAACAGAGTTGATTGGCTCAGATATTGTGGACAAGACATGAAAGGACTTTTTTTTGTTTGGCATTGAAAATAGTGGTCCAGGGGTGCAAAATTGTTCACAATTATCATTTGGAGAAGGGTATAAATAAATGTCAGATTTGTGAAATGTGCATCTCAAACTTTTTTTTTTGACAACTTTAACTTTGTCTAATGATAGGTATGTTCTTTTTGGTGTTGAGAATAAATGTTTTGTCAATACTTCAGATGTTCTACCTAATCGAGCAGAGATAAATTTTTCTTCGATGCCTGAATAGGCGGAAACGACAACTCAAAGAAAGATGCTATAAAATCAGTGATCATATTGTTCTTTTAGTCTTCAAGAATTCCTTACCTATAATTTTTAAGAAAACAGCTCGTTCTTTGTTATAGAAAATATTACATTAGAGAGATCAACTCATAGTGGAAGTAAGAAACTGAAACGATGAACCATCTTGCCTCCATGGCCTACTTTATTTCGCTAAACCTTCAAGACCTAGAATAATATGCGCAAAAAGTAGAGCAAAAATATGTCGCTGAGGTTCCAAGCAACTTGAGGATGATAGGGTACATGCAACGAAAATCACAGTAGCTGCAAAATGGGCGAGTTACACTATTATTCAGCACCACCTCATACGATTTTCCCCACAACATTGCTACGCTTTTAGGCCTCAACCCGGTAAAGATTCCAAGCACACAATTTGTATGCAAACTAGCTTGTTGATCTTTACATGTGTAGAACCAGTTCTTTGGATTGGTTTCTTCCTCACAGATGTCACACCAGTATTTACCACTTGCTTCTTCTTCGCCATAGCATAGTAAAAGAGGATGATCGTCTACTCTGTGCATTACCACTTGTGGTAGAGTAGCGCATTTGAAGCCCAATACAAATCCACAATCACCTTCAATGCACCTGAGCACCGACATTCCCTCTAAATTACAACCATTGCATATTACATCTTTTTCTGTTGGAATGTAATATAAGGGATGTTGGGGATGACTTGGATGGATAAATGGCTCAGAAATTGAACCGCATAAGACATCTAACGTCTTTTCCCCATGCTTGTACATGAAACCACTGGAATATCGATGGCAAGCATAGCAATTGAAGACTTCTAGCTCCTTGTTTGTAACTAAAGTGAGTTTTTCATTGTGTAATACATGCCTTTTCATTTTAGGACAATTAGCACATTTCTCATGGAGAGAAAAATCACAATCCCGACAGTCGTAAAAGGATTGGAGACCTATCGGATGGGAGCATGCCCTGCACCACTTGTTATCCTCATACAAAATACCATTCCGATGGATTCGTTTTAGGTAATGTTCTGTGTGGCTAAAATGTTGTATCGTGTTGTCGTCTATCACCACATATGGTTCTATGTCTTCTTCTTCTTCAGGTACTCCTTCGAGTTCTTTTCCGTTCCACACATCCTTTCTAGTAGCACATTTAGAATGAACAACGTAACCAGGACACTTCTTACAAGAAAACCCTCCAGAAGTCCAGTCCACCTTCTTGCGACAAACTCCACATACAGAATTCACAACTCCAAGAAGCAAAGTACGAGAAACACGGTGATCATGCCTATTGATGTTAATGACACGAGGAAGGCCAAGACAGTCTTGATGAATCATGAAGTCACATTGAACACACATGTAAGGGCTTCAATCTCCCTTGAGGCCGCAAGCATTACATGTAAAAGAAAGGAGTCTTGGAAGAAGGGTGAGTTGGTGATCATGAACTTTCAAATCCACAGTAGACTGTGGTGGTGGGTTCAGAATACAACGCATGTCCAAGGTGAAGTTACAAGACGAACAATGATAAAACAATTCTTTATCAACGTTTCTTCCGCAAAGACGACATTTACCATCAGAGTAGTCCGGTGGTGTACCTGTGAGGAGCTTAAGAGGATGCAAGGAGTGGTAAGAGTGGCTTATCTCTGTTGGATGTTTTGGAACTTCTGTCGGGTGCCATACACAACCCACATGAAAGGCTACATCACATTCATCACATTTGTAAGGAAGTCCACCCGGAATCTTCCCGCATTTAGCAGAGCAATCAAAGGTGATCCGTTCCTTGACAAGTGTGAGCTTGTGTTGGTGCATCTTGAAATCATCAATGACCTCTGGCGGGCTGTGCTTGGCACAGTGTGGATCCAAGTCGAAGTCACACATTCCACAACGATAGTATAGCTTCAAGATTCTCCTTCGACATAAATCACAATTGTTAAATGATTCAGGTAGAAGTTTGAGAGTGTGATGGGGATGAGATGGGTGGTCGATGAATTCAGAGATCTCGCCGTCTCCACATTTCTTGTGCACGAAAAAATCACAGAGTTTACAATAGTAGCCATCACTCTCAGATTCAAAGTGTTGACAACAATCACCTCTCCTCAGATCATTCCAAGGGATCATAGGATGCTCGTGGATCAATGGTAGTGACACTCCCTCAGGTTCCATTTGCTCTCCTAGTATACTCAGAAAGAAAGAAGAGGAAGGCGGAAGTTGAAAGCGTGAAGCATTTCTTAGGGTTGCAGATATCGTAGGAGATTAATGATGGACTTCTGTATTTGAGTTGGCCCATGAAATAAGATGGTCATGGGCTGTCGGGAAATGCTTAAACCTGTGGGAACAGTGGAAGCATGTGTGGGAGGGGAGCTGCAGTGTATATTATATATGTTCCTTTATATGTACTAGATAAAAATTTCTTCAAATGAGCGGGTATTTCCTATTTTTTAAAAACTAACTAGGATAAGACCCGCGCAAGGCGGAATGAAATTGTTATTTTCATTCTGTTTTTGGATAATGAAACAATAGTTCGGTTTCATTTGGATTGAGGTGTTCAATCCGGATATCGATTTGTTTTTGTTCGGTTCTGTTTTTTTGGTTTTTGGTATTTCGGTTAGTGTGTTTCAAAATAAAAAAAGTATTTCGGTTAGTAAAATATAACTACTATTCTAAATCTAATTTACTTCGGTTCGGTTCAGTTTATATACCGTCGATTTTTGTTTTATTCGATTTTTATACCAAAAAACATAAATATTTAGTTTGAGATCATATCATATATTATACAAATGTAGAGTCATGTCGTCAAAATTTCATTTATTAAAAACTATTATATATTTAAATAAAAGAATAAAAAAAAATGCTTCTATCATCTAATAAAATAATCAAATCTAGAATTAATATCAAAGCTCTAAATTTTGAAAAACAAAATAGAAGCACGAAAGAAAAACAGGTTCCACAACTTTTTTTAATCTTTTATTTAACATCACTAAGAACCATTTTAATGGTTTTAGAACCAGCAGCTTACTATTATTTCCAAAATTTAATTACTTTGACCTTAGTATTCACATAGTTTTGAAGGGTTTCAACAGGACGCTAAATTAACACAGCTAATTTTCTTGGTTTAAATTGTTAGCTGATTATATATATATATATATATATATATAATTTAATTTGAATATTTTTAAATAAAAATCTATATTAATAAAATTTTATGATCATTTGTATCTTGTTATCACAGAATAAATTAATCTATTCATCACAATAATTTTAAAGTGGGATTTAAATTTTTAATAATTTATAGCCGTTTTAAGAAATTCAAAATATAACATATAAGAAAAAATATTTTTTTATTATTATATGGTTAATGTGATTGTTTAATATTTTTAATAATATAAAATTAAACAAAAAGAGCTAAGATACAAAAATTGTTATCAAATATTTATTATTTATAATCATTTATTGTCACAAATACGTTAAATATATTAGGTAAATTCGTAGTTGTTATTTAAAGAAAGTGCGAGAAGTTTTTTTGTACACTATTTATCAATTTAATAGTTAGTCTAATAAAAAATATAATATAAAATAATATGGACCAGCGTATTTTCTAAATTAATATATAAGGGATGTTACACCTTTGATCATTAATTTTAACATAATAATTTTAACAGTTTTAGTAATTTATTGTCGTGTTTCAAAATTAAAAATATAACATATACGAAAAATCTAAATTTTAATTTTATAACTAATTGAATTGTTTACTTTATTTCAATAATATAAAATTAGATAATAATGATGGAGGAGATATAGATTGTTATCAAAACTTTATTATTAGAATCATTAATTATCATTTATGTAGTAGCCATATTTGGTAATTCTGTTGTTTTTATTTAAGGAAAGAAACTTAAATAATTAATATCATATGATATCGTATGATAACACTTTGATTTATAGTATTAAATATTTCTAGTGAGATATAAAAATTGAATTGGACCAACATGTTTTCAATTTGAATGTAAGGCTGACACATAAGCAAGGAGTCTTTTTTAATTTTTACAAAATTGAGGTTACATCTTTTCAAATGTTCCTCAATTAATATATAGGGGATTTATTTTTTTTATCAACAAAAAATAAAAGGAAAAAAATACTTGCTATGTGAGATATGCTAATAGACTCGGAAAGCATTAAATCTTAGATCAATTTACTAACACGGAAACATGAAAATGGAACTATTTAAGAAAATATCTTGAATGTTATTAGTTATTATTATGTTGTTGTTAAAAGATGTATATATCTCACTTTTGATAATAATGGTATTATTTTCTATATTTACTCATTCCCATAATTCTAAACTAATAATATTTCAAAAAGTGTAACTAATTGTTAATGTTTGTAATTCATTATTATTACTAATAAATATTGCATCGAAAACTTCAAACATCTATTTTCTTGAAACAAATTTTTATGGTAAACCATTTAAAAATATTGTTTAAAATACTGCGGTTGAAAGCGAGGCTGCAGATCTGAGTGCGCTTAGATGCCCTGAAGCAATGACCAACTAAAAATTCTTTCTAAGTAACATAGATGAGAAAAAGCACACTGATTTGCCTCAGCTAAATCTTGGGCATTCTTGTTAACCTTGTACTTGGCGGAGCTCTTTCTTTTTCTCGTCTAATAACTTCTTTTCTTACGCTATTTCCGAATGTCTTTAACCCCTCTAGTAAAGCAACCAGCTATTTCTCGTCCCCGCTTTCTAAGCAAGGAGAAGAGTCATCTCAGTTCATCATAGCTAGCTCGAGATTATGTCCTCACCTCTCTAGCACCATTAATAAAAGTGCTTGTGCTTCAGAACGGAGAAAGCTGTTTTTAGATAAGAGAAGCAAAAGAACTCTCTAGCCCTGAAGCAATGATCAACAAAAAATAAAAGGAAAAAAATACTTGCCATGTGAGACATAGACTAGGAAATCATTAAATCTTAGATCAATTTACTAACATGGAAACATGAAAAGTGGAACTATTTAAGAAAATATCTTGAATGTTATCTAATCTATTAAAACTGAAGTACAATTAGTATTTAAGCCTAACTTTTCCTTAATATTTACCCTTGATTGCCACTGATTTAAACCATACAAACCATCTTAATTCTATTTAATTATTGAAGTAAATATACGTCTAAACCGCCGTCACTAACAATTTTAACAAACATCCTACATTCAATCGTTTCCTCCTCCGTATTAATTTCCCACTGAAACTATAAATGAGTATAGAATATTTTATTACCACTAAGAAAAACGTATATGCCTATTTTGTTACACTAACCTAAAATAATTTAACTACAATTAAATTGATCATAACTCAGACTTCTTTTGCATCTATTTTTTCCTTCAAACACCAAGTCATCAACTTCTGTTTTTGTTATTTCTGTAATGGTTTGACAAGGGACTATAAACGAAATAAGTTATGTATGTTACTATTATGAAATAAATTCTCTTAAACCAAACCATAAATATTATTTGTTAGTATAACCATAATTCTTAGACTTATTTATGGTTAGTTTGGTTATCGAACTATTTTTGATTTAGAAGATCGTAATCAAAACAAGATTCCTAAACAGAATATTTATTAACCATTTGAATTACATATACTAAATACACTTTAACATTTTTGGATACTCATAGTCTTCATTATCTCCACGTAATATTCTTAAATCTATGATATTCCAAAAAAAGGCTCAACACGTGCCTAAGTTTTATGATCTATCAATTTTTTTTTTTAATTTTCATACATCGTATGTGGTATACATTAAATTATAAAATATATAATCGTTTATATGAAATAAAATAAAAATATTATTGGTTTTCTGTAAATTTTGTTATTTTCAAAACCCGTATATAATGTACATTAAGTTAAAGGATAATCCATAGTATGAAATGAAAAGAAAATGAATATCTAATCTATTAAAACTAAAATACATAATTTATTTTACCTCTAAAATAACATTTTAATTACATTCTAATGTCACTCAAAAACTATTTCCTATTTTAGCCTTTATTATATGTTTCAATTAAAAAGATCATTCCTAAATTAATTTCAAACTAATTAATGTTCAAATATTCTATATATTTATCCATTTCAAAAAATTTCCAAAAATACATACTTAATTTTTATACAAAAGTAATATTATGTTTAAAAATATCACCTAACACCTAAAATACATAAATCAATATATGCTAAATGATAAAATAACAAAATAATTCAAAATTTAATAAATACCTTAACTCCATTAATTATAGACATTTCACCATATTTGCATTAACTAAACCATATAGTATATAGAAGTCTATTCGGCATTTAATAAATTTACCTTCAGATATTTTTCCTATTTGATTAATTTGGCAAAAATGTTTTATTATATTTTCATTAGCTATATATTCCACATTGAGTAAAATGAGATTATTTTTTACTAAAATATTAGCTATGATATTTTAGTTCATTCCTCATTATTCTACATTAATAAAAAACATGTTAAACCTCATGTTAACAATCAGTTTTGTAATATATATATATATATATATATATATATATATATATATATATATAATGCAAAATGTTGTTCAAAATGTTATTTCATACATATTTTTATATAATTGTTAGTCCAAAGCAAATCCAATAAGACAAGTCTATCTAAATAAATGACTAACACAATTGCGGGTTAGATATAATAAATAGAATTATTGTATATAAACAACAAATTTGTTATGTATATAAATTGTCCTAAATTTTAATATGGGTAAATATTCAAAATATATACTGCCAAAATTATATTAAAATGTTGATTTATATAATTCAAAACAAACACCCGTGCGGGCGCACGGGTAAAATCTAGTTAATTATTATGTTGTTATCTAATACTCAACCGGTTCTTAAAAGATGCATACTTATCTATACAATATTTGCCTCTTTTAAGTGATTTTGTTAATAGATTTACATTACACTTGATTTATTGTTCTTTTCAAAATAATAACTTCATTTATTGTAATCATTTTATGTATTCTATTCATTTTATTTAATGTCTTGCATACATACAAAATCCGGATAAATTCAGTTTTGATGTATAAAAATCTTAAAATATACAAAAACTAATGTATCCAAAGATTCAGATAGTTATACCATAAATAATCATATTAATCGATTCGGTTCAAATATTTTGAATTCAAACTAAATTAACATAAAAATAATCAAAAGTAACCATATTATCTTATTTGATTTGGGTTAGACTTTGATATATAGCAACTTAATCGGTTATAAAAAATAACAGTTTACAAAAATATATAACACTAATTATAAAATAATAAAATATCAAAACATGTCAGAATATCCATATCATAAAATATGCTATTACAGCTGGTGTCGAACGTATTATGTGTAGCGTTTGATCAGAATATCCATATCATAAAATATGTATCCGAAAAATATTATAGATGCCAAGCAACCATAGATCATCACCAATATCCGCACTAATTAACGGTAAAAAAATATCTGCACAACATTTATCAGAATCCCAAAACCTGGTTATGCCATCCAAAGCTACCGTACATTATACATAGGTTCTCTACGATATGCCTATAGTGAAAGCAAGTTTCTAACTTCTTAGACCAAAAAAGATTCATATTCCCAACTTGTTATTAGTATAATGAATGCTACCATTTGCTAAACTCTAAAATTAAACTCTCAATATCTGTAATGCCGCATTACTAATGCGCATGGTGAAATGGACGTTACTTGTATTATGGCGAAGCAATAATAAGAGCATCAAACAAGGCACATGTCAACCCCAATACAAAAGCTGAACCAAAGTGAAGATCCCCTAGAGCAAGTAGTTCACCGGATATTTGTTGCGGTAATAATAAAACGGAGACGTATACACAACAGAGAAACAAACTAGCTAAGATATTTTTTATTTCTCAATGTAAAGTGTACTGATGCTTTTGTTACCTATGAAGTGCCTACTTTATTTCGCTAAACCTTCCACGCATAATAAATAGTGCAACTAGTAGAGCAAAAGTATGTCGCTGAGGTTCCAAGCAACTTGAAGTTGATAGGGTACATGCAACGAGACTTACACTTGCTGCAAATTGGGCGAGTTACACTATTATTGAGCACCACTTCAAACGATTCGTCCTTAAACTTTGCAATGCTTCTTGGCATGAGCTGTAGATCTCTTCCGAGCACACAATTTGTATGCAAACTAGCTTGTTGATCTTTACAAGTGTAGAACCAGTTCTTTGGATTAGTTTCTTTCTCACAGATGTCACACCAGTATTTACCACTTGCTTCTTCTTCTTCTTCGCCATAGTATAGTGAAAGAGGATGATTGTCAACTATGTGCTTTACCACTTGTGGTAGAGTGGTGCAGTAGAACCCCAATACAAATCCACAATCACCTTCAATACACCTAAGCACACGATAGTCCTGGACGTTGCAACCATTGCATACTCCGTCTTTGATTGTTGGAATGTAATATAAGGGATGATGAGGATGACTTGGATGAAAAAATGGCACAGAAATTGAACCACACTGCACATCTAGCATCCTATGCCCATGCTTGTACATGAAACCATTGTACCTTCGAAAGCAAGCATGACAAATGAAGCCTTTGGCTCCTTGTTTGTAACTAAAACGAGCTGATCATTGTGTAGCACATGTCTTCTCCTTTTAGGACATTCAGCACAGCTCTGATGGAGAGAAAAATCACAATCCATACATCCATAAAAGGATTGGAGACCGATGGGATGGGTGCATGCGCTGCACCACTTGTTCTCCTCGTACATAACACCATTCCCATGGATTCGTCTTAGGTAATGCTCTTTGTGGCTGAAATGTTGTATTGTGTTGTCATCTATCACCACATATGGTTCTATATCTTCTTCTTCTTCAGGTACTTCTTCGAGTTCTTCCCCGTTCCACACATCTTCTCTGGTAGCACATCTAGAATGAACGACATAGCCAGGACACCTCTGACAAGAAAACCCACAACAAGTCCAGTCCACCTTCTTACGACAAACTCCGCACACAGAATTCATAGCACTATCACCAAGAATCGAAGTACGAGATGATGACGATTGATGTTAATGACAGCGTGGAAGGCCAAGACATTCTTGATGGATCATGAAACCACAATGAAAGCACGCGTAAGGGCTTCGATCTCCCTTAAGCCCGCAAGCATTACATGTAAAGGAATCGAGTCTTGGAAGAAGGGTGAGTTGGTGATCATGAGCTTTCAAATCCAAAAGAGATTGTGGTGGCGCGTTCAAAATACAACACATATCCAAGGTGAAGTTACAAGAAGAACAATGATAAAAATATTCTACATCAATCTCTCTTCCCCAAAGACGACATATGAGTAGAATTAACTTATTTTCTAAAATATCATATTGTTAATATAAATTAGTTTTAATTATATAATCAATAATAAACAAAATTACCTAGGATCATGGAGACAAATCAACAAATTCACTTTTTAAATAATTATTTTGATGATTTCTATTTAATTATTAATAGTATAGTTTGATATCATAATTTCAAGTTTTATAATAGGAAATATGTTTTCAACATAACAACATAATACATAAGCATTATCTTATTTTAGAAAAATATAAAATTATTAAAATTCCTTTTTGTTATATAATAAATAAATAAGTTTTATATTTTAATTTAAAATTTAACTTTTATATCTAAAAATATATTTCAAGATAACAACAAAATTCACAATAATTATCTTAGTTTCTAAAAATATGATATATTCATATAAATTCATTTTATTTATTAATAAATTATTCATATAAATTTGCTTTATTTATTAATAAATTATATATAAATATTAAAAATATGATAAATAGACAAAATTACCTAAACTTATGGTGAATATGACAACTAAGAAAATCTACTTCTTAAATAATAGTATAGATTAAACAAATTACTTGTACTTATTATTATTTATTTTGTGTTTATTTATACCTTCTGTTTCATATCATTACATGTTTTAGGGATATATTTTTTTCAATGGATATTTTGTTAACTAATAATGTTTAATTACAAATTTCAAAAATTTAATTGCATTTATTGAATTTTATTAGTTTAAACTTATGAGAAAAAGATAATCACAAAAAATTAGGCATTTATTATATATTTTTCTAATATGTGTAAAAAAAACTAAATATGCATCATATTGAAACAGAGAGAGTATATATTATGAAATAATAAATATATTGGATATATAATTGAGAAGCAGGCAACTATTTTTATTTATTTCCAATAATTGTTACTGGTAAATCAATTAAAACCATCATCTTTTATTTGTTTTATATGGTTTATCATTATATTTAAATATATTGACATAGATATATAGTATATTTTAATATAAATATTTATTAATTAAGGTTTTCTACTCATATGTTTTTATTAATATTTGTATATTTTCTATAACAGAAACTTTAAACCATTAAAATCAAAAAAAAAATTCAATGTAGGATTTTAATAGTAATTTATATTCTTTAAAAATTTAATATAAATTTTAAAATTAATATATTAAGGTCTTAATACGTTTTCAGTAAAAAAAATTAAATTAACTTATGTATTTTTTATCTGATATATAGTTTAATTTAAATGATATTAAAAGAGATATATATATATATATAAATCCACAATCACCTTCAATACACCTAAGCACACGATAGTCCTGGACGTTGCAACCATTGCATACTCCGTCTTTGATTGTTGGAATGTAATATAAGGGATGCTGAGGATGACTTGGATGAAAAAATGGCTCAGAAATTGAACCACACTGCACATCTAGCATCCTATGCCCATGCTTGTACATGAAACCATTGTACCTTCGAAAGCAAGCATGACAAATGAAGCCTTTTGGCTCCTTGCTTGTAACTAAAGTGAGCCGATCATTGTGTAGCACATGTCTTCTCCTTTTAGGACATTCAGCACAGCTCTGATGGAGAGAAAAATCACAATCCATACATCCATAAAAGGATTGGAGACCGATGGGATGGGTGCATGCGCTGCACCACTTGTTCTCCTCGTACAGAACACCATTCCCATGGATTCGTCTTAGGTAATGCTCTTTTTGGCTGAAATGTTGTATTGTGTTGTCATCTATCACCACATATGGTTCTATATCTTCTTCTTCTTCAGGTACTTCTTCGAGTTCTTCCCCGTTCCACACATCTTCTCTGGTAGCACATCTAGAATGAACGACATAGCCAGGACACCTCTGACAAGAAAACCCACCACAAGTCCAGTCCACCTTCTTACGACAAACTCCGCACACAGAATTCATAGCACTATCACCAAGAATCGAAGTACGAGAAACACGGTGATGATGACGATTGATGTTAATGACGCGTGGAAGGCCAAGACATTCTTGATGGATCATGAAACCACAATGAAATCACGCGTAAGGGCTTCGATCTCCCTTAAGCCCGCAAGCATTACATGTAAAGGAATCGAGTCTTGGAAGAAGGGTGAGTTGGTGATCATGAGCTTTCAAATCCAAAAGAGATTGTGGTGGCGCGTTCAAAATACAACACATATCCAAGGTGAAGTTACAAGAAGAACAATGATAAAAAGATTCTACATCAATCTATCTTCCGCAAAGACGACATTTCCCATCAGAATACTCAGGTGGTTCACCCATGAAGAGCTTAAGAGGATGTAAGGAATGGTAAGAGTGGTTTACCTCTAGGAAATAGTTTAGCTCTGCTGATGGGTGCCATACACAACCCACATGGAAGGCTACATCTTCACATTCATCACATTTGTAAGGAAGTCCACCAGGACTCTTCCCGCAGTTAGCAGAACAGTCGAACTTAATTTGTTCCTTGACAAGTGTGAGCTTGTGTGGGTGCGTTTCAAAATTGTCAATAACCTCTGGCGGGCTGTGCTTGGCACAGTGTGGATCCAAGTCGAAGTCACACATGTCACAACGGTAGAATAGCTTCAAGATGTTCTTTCGACATAAATCACAGGTGTTATATGGTTCATGTCGAAGTTCGAGAGTGTGATCAGGGTGGGATGGGTGGTCGATGATGAATGAAGAGATCTCCCCGTCGCCACATTTCTTGTGCGCGAAAAAATCACAGAGTTTACAATAGTAGCCATCACTTTCAGATTCAAAGCAATCACAACAATCACCTCTCCTCAGATCATTCCAAGGGATCAAAGGATGCTCGTGGATCAATGGTAGTGACACTCCCTCAAGTTCCATTTGCTCTCTCGTATACTCAGAAAAAGAAGAAGAAGGCGGAAGTTGAAAGCGTGAAGGATTAATTAGGGTTTAGTTGATTAATTTCCGACTAAATGGATTAGTTGATATTGTAGGAGATTAATGATGGACTATACAATTTGAGTTGGCCCATGAAATAAAATTTTCGTGGGCTGTCGGGAATTGCGTAAATCTGTGGGACAGTGGAAGCATGCGTGAGCGTGAGAGAGGAGCTGCTGTGTTAATTGAGGTACTTTTTATATGTACTAGATAAAAGTCGTTTCAAATGAGCGGGTATTTTCCATATTTTAAAATTTTTTTTTATCAAGTTGGAAAACAAGGAAATAATACTCGCCAGGTGAGATCTAAAATAGACTCGGAAAGCGTTTTTAATCTATATAAATCATTTTATTAATACAGAAACATGAAAAATGAAATATTTTAAAATGAAATATCTATAAATCATTTTATTCTCAATAAAAATGTTTTAAAGATTACATGTTTGAAGTTGAGAAAAAAAACAATACATATTTGAAGTTTTCTATAAAGCTTTTATTAGTTAATAAGGGAAATTTACTCAAAAATTTAAATATAATTGTAGAAATTGGTAAACAAAAAAATAATAAATTTATTATGAAATTTATTATATTTTCTTAGTATGTGTGAACACATAAACATACATATATTAGGAACAAATGAAATATTCATTACTCAAATCTGTTTCAAAATGATCCATATATTAGAATATTGTTTAAAAAAAAATAGTTTCAATGAATTTTATTTTTTTAATAATGATAAATTTTTAATTTTAAAGAAAATAATTGTGTTTATTGAACTGTGACTAACTAAAATTTGTGGAAATAGTAAATAAAAGAATGCATTTATAATTAAATTTTTTTTCTAAATATGGGTGAAAACTCAAAAATATATTTCTTTTTGAAACATATAGAATACATTTCTTAAAAGGCTATCATATTAACCTTTTGTATTTTTTTACAAACACAATAGATGTAAATTAAAAAGTAGAAAAAGGAAAACAATTGTCTAAACAGACTAAACCAGTTATAGAAAATCGAAGATCTTAAAACCCTAATCTAAGCTAACATATAAAAAAATTGATTTATATTATGCTTTTGCAATCGTCTCCAACTACAAATGCTAATTGAAATCAACTTTTGATTTGAAAGGTTCAGAATTATGTAAACTGATTTACATCGTTTTGTGATTGTTTTAAAACCAGTTAAGTTCTTATCAAAAGTCAATTTATTAGCATGAAAATATGAGAAAATAATTATTAAAGAAAAGGATGTTACTATTCCTTGTTGTTAATATTATATCTTATCTTCAAAGTATCCTATGACACTAATCTTTAAAAGATCTGTTATTTCGACAAGCACACACAACTAAACGATTTGAAAAATAGAACAGAGGGTAATTCAGACTTGCGTTTGAGAAAAGATGGATGTTTTAGGATCATTTTCCCATTTTCTTTAATTTTTTACCAAGCAAAATAATCAGAAGAGTTACAATTCAAATCAGACAAAAGAAAGCTCTTCATTTTCTTTTTCATTAGAAAGTGAAAGATCTTCATGTAGTGGCGGTTTTTTTTCAAGAAACAAACAAAAAAATCAGTAGTGAGGTGTGTAAGAATAAGGTCCCATGGAGTATGGAACTTGAAAATGTTGTTGTTGGTTTTGCATGTAACCTAGTCTTCCATTTCTGTTGTATTGATCCCACATTATTTGTTCTTCCATTACCAATCTTTGTTTTTTCTCCATATCACTCATTTGCATGTACGGTAGTGGAGCCACCTCTAGAGACGTCGCGAATGGGTCCACGGTCATCAGTCTTCACCTTCGTTTCCGTTGGCCATTGGCGGCGCAGGCAGTCCCAACATCGAGGTTTTAAAATGGTTTTTAGTTCGGTTTAAGCAAAACCTTTTAAACCAAATTTTTGATAAAGAACTACGGATGAGGTGATAATCTAGATGCAAATATGTTCTTCCATTACCAATCTTTGTTTTTTCTCCATATCACTCATTTGCACGTACGGCGGTGGAGCCACCTCTAAAGACGCCGCAAATGGGTCCATGGTCATCAAATATCTGCCTCCGTTTCCGTTGGTCGTTGGTGGCGGTGCGGGCAATGCCAACATCGAGGCTGCATCACATATATTTCAATTTCAGCAATCAAATAGATAAGGAATAATCCGAACAAACCAATATTAGGCCGTTTTAAACCAAATCACTACACTACAAGAAAACATGTGTCTAACGACTACACTATTGGTTGTTAATTAGTCGTAATATGCCATTTACGACCAATTAACATCGAAAACCAATTGGTCGTTATTCGCTAGTCGTAATGCACAATTAGTCGTAACGTAGTCGTAACATTACGACTACACCGCGTAGTCGTAACCTAGTCGTAATATTACGACTAACGCATTAGTCGTAAAGTTGAGGTGACACTCGTAGTCGTAACGTGGTCGTAAATTACTTAGTAGTTAATTAGTCGTAATATAATTAGTAGTTAAGTAGTCGTAATGTAATTAGTAGTTAATGAGTCGTAATCATTAGTAGTTACTTAGTCGTAATATTACAACTAAGTAACTTCGACAGTTGTTGTCGATTAGTCGTAAATCAAAGACTAATTTACGACCAATTTTGATTTTATTTTTAAATAAAACGATTTTTTAATTTGATTTTTTTTTTTAATTTTTGGTTTTTAATTCGATTTTTTTTTAAAAATTAATAAATTTTTTAAAAATATATATAAAATTATATTTGATTAAAATAATATATAAAGTATTCATACAAAAAACCGAAAAACTAAGGTGTTTTGTTGAGGTTCATGTCTTGGAAGAACTCAGAAGTGTGCTGCTCCGCACGTCGATCAATATCCACTTGCTCTTCCGGAGTGGGGTCGGGGTTAAAGCTCGGACGTAGAGCTTGCCATGCATTTGCAACCGTCGGGTTTGGGTTCGAGGTCTCCATCATAAGATCGAACATATTCGCCATAGCCTTGAACTTGTCTTTATGCTCGTCTAAGACTTTGTTGGCAGCTGCTAGTTCCCGTCGGAGAGAGGAATCTTCTTCTATTCTTGCTGCATGTTAGGCCCTCGCCCTCGGGACATCATTCACCGTCCCGATCCCAACAATACGTCCCCTTTTCTTCGGAGCAACCTACAAAAGATCAAATTTTATTTATTAATTATATTTATATAATTAAGTGAAAATGTGAAAATTTAATAAAAAATTAAAAATGTTAATAAAGTTAAAAATTAAAATAATTTACCTGCTCGAAAACCTTGTCTTGGTCGATGGTTGTAAGTTGGACCGGTGGAGCATCCGGATTTTGTTGCGACATCTGAGTCTGGACCTCTTCGATCCGAGCCTCTACCTCGTTGTAGATCTTCTCTGCTTGAGGATGCACAAAAGTCCCATCAGAACGCTGGTGGGTAATCTTTTATAGCCGAGCGAGAGATGGTGGCGCTCCTTCTTTGGCGGCCTATATAAAAAAAATTAATTTAAATTAAATTTGCATTAAAAAATTATAATAAAATCAAGAATATTCAAACACTTACAATTTCAATTGCCCTCCCAGCATGTGGAGTCTGCCCGGAAGTATGAGGAATTGGCGGGTTACCTTGAGCATCCTTGGTCAACCGGACCGCAGAGTACTTGGTAGACTTCGCCCTTGACTCAGGCTTCATCCAAAACGCCACCAAACCAACCCAAACGTCATTGCTGAGGTAGGTTGGTTTTGCGTCATCCTGTCTTAGCCTCCAGTCGTCCTTCCAATCTCCAACAATGTTCTTGAGGCGCAGCATCGCCTTTTTGTAGAACCCATATTTGACCTCCTCGTTGACACCAATGGACCAATTCCATTTTGCTACAAAAAATTTTTGAAAAATTAAAAAACATTAGTACTTTAATTTATATATACTATCAATGCATGAATTAAATTTTAAAAAAAAATTGAGAAAACTAACCGCAAAACACTTGAACCACGTAATGCGAACGTTGTCCGGTGTAAGAGTCCAGTTGGGGTGGGCATGCCAAAAATTTGCCCGAA